AGGGGCAAGGGGCAAGCAGGTAACCCACAGAGTGGGAATCTCAGAGCAGAGCAGCTATACTGTGCCCAGGCTCCGAGCTGTGTTGAGCTCCCTTGTGAGCAGGTGGCGACCAGGATGCGGAGTCTGTGTAACTAACTGGAAATGCTGAGCTGTAATTGTGGCAGAGAGAGCACAGAGTACCAGCGACTCCCAAATTCTTAGAAAGTCTCTGAAAAAAGGAGTTAAATATGGACAAGTTGGTGAATTGGGGACCTTTCCTTCCAGCTGCCTTTTGATTGAATTGGGAAACCAGCTGAGGTCTAGGAGGGCCCTACCAAGAGCAACCACAGCCACTTACTGAGCACTCACTATGCCCCTAACACTTTGCATCTTAAACATTATATAGGGATTGTCTCTTAACTCTCTGCTGCCTGATGAAATAGGCATCACCTTCTTTATGAACTGAGTTTTATTTCTCCAAATTTATGTGTTGTATATAGAGGAAAGACCCAAGGATGACACAGGGACACGATCACCATCTGCAATGGAAGGAGAAAAGCCTCAAGAGACCAACCCTGCCAGTAGACTGATCTCAGACTGCTGACCTCCAGGACTATGAGAAAATAAATTTTAGCTGTATAAGCCACCTGTTCTGTGGTACTTAGCTATGGCATTCCTAGCAAAGTAATACATCCTTGTTTTGTATCTGGGAAAACTAAGGAGAGAGGTGACAGAACTTGTGGAAGTTCTCACAGTGGTGGCAGTATTGAAATCGAGGTGTGTTTGATTCCAAAGCTTGTGCTCATAACTAACAGTTATACTGAGTTCTGAGTGTGTCTGGCTTAGGGCTGCTTTTCCTCACTTTTGAAACAGCAACTCTGGCACCCAGATCTTTGACTTCTGGCCCACTGTTTTCACCAATATACCATATTTTCTCCCCTGCCACAGTAGCTTTAGAGACAAGACCCTGGACAGGAATGGGATAAACAAGTGACTGGAGTTAGGGGCTTACTGAATCTGGAAAGAAAGGCCTCCATTTGGGATCTCCCTACTCTGTTCTCCTCCTTTGAACAGAGATAAAGGAGACCCATTCTTTGAAGTGGTTTGTATCTGCTTAGAAGTGGTGTGAAACCTACCCCCCAAAATGGGGCAGATAAAAGTATTTAATACTATATTTCCACTGTTGCAGTCACTGAGATGTTTGGTGGTTCTTTATCAATCAGGGGGAAATATTAGGATGACCTGGATAATTTTTTAAAAATACCTAAGTCCTGATCCTGTGACTAGATGGTGCATTCTAGGAAGCCTGGGATGGAATCTGGGCACCCATAACCTTTATTTTCTCCTTCAAATCGACCTTGATAGTTTTGATGTGCTCCATCAAAGGGTTGGGGAACCCTTGAAGTTGTGGAATGATTGATTTCTGTTGTTGATACTTCTAAACCAGTGATTTTCTACCCTTTTCATCTCATGGCACACATAAACTAATTGCCAAAATTCTGTGAAACACCAAAGAATATATTTTTGCCGATCTGACAAAAAGGTATAATTTTGATTCATTCACACTGGATGGCTATTGTTGTGTTGGTTGTTGTCATTTCTCCTTTATTTGACAATCTAAGGGAAAAGAGGTCACTACCCCAACTAAATACTCAGGTATTGCATGTTTTAAAAATTCTTGCAGCACACTGGTTGAAAATTTCTGTTCTAAACTATTGAAATGGTTGCATTCCAACAATATTAACATCTTAAAACTAACTCTTTCATTTTAACTTTCCTTAGACTTCTGTATTTTTCATGGTTCTTTTCACTTTAACCTATTTTGAGGTTGGAAGGACATGATAAGAGCCATTGTCCTAACGGAAGACCCCTAAGCCACCAGAATTAACTTTTCTCTTTGGTCCTTAGCAGTTCTGAATGCGAGAGCCCAGTAGGTAGGGACTACCCAAAATGTTTTTGAAATCCATTCATTCTGAGTTCAGCTAATTTTGTACACAGTTGCATTTCACACCCATTCCTCTAGAGGGCCCCAGAGTTAAGAAACATTTGGGAAGCTGAGCAGATGGGCTTGCAACCTTGTTAGACAAGGGAACCCTAGCTAAGAGTAATTTTTGAGCTTTTATTTGTTGGAAGAACTGTTATGTTCGCTTTTATTTTATTTATTATTATTTTTAATCCTCACCTGAGGATATTTTTTCCATTGCTTTTTCAGAGAGAGTAGAAGGGAGAGAGAGAGAAACGTCAATGTGAGAGAGACACATCCCCACCGGGGCCGGGGATCGAGCCTGCAACCGGGGTACACGCCCTTGGCTGGAATTGAACCCGGGACCCTTCCGTCTCCAGGCCGACGCTCTAACCACTGAGTCAAACCAGCCAGCGCTGTTGTGTTCTCGTTTACAGCTCCCTATTCTTTCTGACTACTATTTTCAGCTCTCAGCCTCTGTCCAAAGGATAAAGAACAATGTTTTCTTGTTAGGGTAGTGGCTCCCAATGCTAGAGCACAAGACTAGGGCCTGTGGCTGAGAACTCAGGCCTCGAGTGGCATGACCTCTAAAACTCTTTGCACACATTTACCAGTAAAAATGTTGAGTGTACATCTTCAATATGTAGATAGTTATGTATAAATTATGTGTGCAGACAACTTTACTATATATCTCATAAAATGGATCCTCCAAAATAGGAGCTTAAAAGGAATGAGCAAAACCAAAAAATAACACAATGGAAGTTCTGTTATCTTCTTTCTGTGCTCTAGTCAGGGTCACTGGCTACTGCTTTAGAAAATGGCTTTTTTTTTTTTTTTTAAGGTTTTGAGGAAAGAGCACAGAGATTGATTTTGGGTGGTTTTGGCTGCAGGAACCTGTCTTATTCCAGTTGTCATCTTGAAGATTCAGTGAAGAATGGGTTATGCATGGAAAGGCCTGGTCTGGCAATCAGTGGGAGGGTGCCTTCATGTGGAAGGCTCACTGCACTCTCTTTGCTGGAGGTTCAGTGTAGAATGCACCAGGCAGTGTACCAGAGGAGGACATGGGGAGTAAGACACACTTAAATCCTCGTATCAGAAAGCATATCTTCCAGGCCAGACTCTGGTGCATTGTAGAGGAAGTAGGTCTAAAGTCAACTAAAAGGCAGTATAGTGCCCAGGTCTGCTCCCAGTGTCCTCTCTCTACCATCCCCATTTGGATCTAGTGAGCTGTTGGGGAAGGGAGGCAGAGGAAAGGATCTGGTTGAGGGAGTATGTAGTATTATAAAGGTATTTGATGGGAAAGATAAAGGAGGCATGGTTTTACCTGGACTCTTCTGAGACTCCTTCCCCACCCTCTAGTGTATGTAGCCATAGATTGAATTGAGCCCTGATGGCCTTCATGGGTTCCAAATCTTGCTCCTTGGCAACCCAGAGCATCACATTGTTATCTGCCTGGTAGCTATCATACATTTGGGGCTCAAGAATACACCCAGGTGCTGTTTAGCCCCAATTATAAAATTCAGTTTGTTTTTAAATTTAATAATCAAAAGAGAAGTTGCATAATAAATTGATATTAAAGCAATCAAGCCATTCCATAATAGAAAGAAGGTTTCATACTGAGTTTACAGAGCTCAAAAGAGTCGTATAATTTCACGGAATTAAGTTAGGATTTTAAAATAAGGCAGACTGGTCAAATAAATATGGTCACTAAATGGAAAACTGGAAGAAAACTACCCTAGTGTTACATTCAAATGTTTGCCCTCTGCATGCCAGGCATTGCTACCTTCCAAGGCTAAGGCCAAGGTTTCCATGGTGTACTTGATTTGGGCCAATACAACTTGACCTTTCACTTCCCCAAATGTCAAGTAGTCATAACTGGATCTAATAGAAATTATGCTGAGATTTGAAAAATTCTAGTAGTCAGCATTTCTTTATTTAAAGTCAACATTTTTTTCCATTCTGAAAATACTATATGCTCAATTAGAAAAAATTAGAAAGTGTAGAAGAGTAGAAAGGAATCACCCATCTTTTCATTGCAAAAGAAAGCTGCCATGAGCATACTTTCCAGCACAATTTCCCAACGTGTGGGTGCCTTCATAGGAGGGAGATGCTTAGCCAGAGTCAGTGTGGGAGGAAGGGTGGTTGGGTGGCTGTTGGCACAAGAGCCTGGATGACAAGATCAGAAATACCAATGTCTCTGTTGAGTGTCTCTCTTGAAACCAGCCTGAATGCAAGCTGGATCAAAAGAGGACGGCTATGAGAATGCGAAAGCAGTTTCTTCTGATGCTACCTGTAATGCTGGAGCAACCCTTTTGTCTAGTGGGAACGTGTGTATACCTTGGGTCAGGCACATGGTAGAGAGCCAAACCTCGAGTTACATTTAAATTAGGTTAATCTCGGGGAAAAAAACATGATTTGGAGTCACGTAACTCCCGAGGTCACCTAGAGTTTACACTTAAAGAAAATAAGAGATGCTCATGAGTCCAAATTCGGTTTTGTTATTTATTTTCTCATGTGTGGAAAACCAGGCTGAGTTTATAAATTTTGCAGTATCCAAATAGCTTTAAAAACACCAGTTCTTTTTGAGATTGGGCTTTTGCCCACCTTGTTAAGGTGCAGATTCAAATGAAGCCTGAGTGAAAGATCCTACTTTAATTGTGCACACACCCATACATACAAACACACACACATTTTTGGTGGTAACTAAGAATAATATACTCATAAACTTTTAGAGCTCAAAGGGCGCAATGTAAGTTTGACCCTTCACTTCTTTAACAGAAGAGGAACTGGAGGTGATCTAACTTGCCCAAGGTCACACAGGTAGTTAAGAGGAGAGCCAAACTGGAGCTGGGACTAGTAGTCTAGTGATTTTTAGTTTAGTGCATTTTCTACTTTTATCATGTGACTCCTTACTCTTTGAGTATTCCAAATGCTGGAACCACACTCTATAGTAGCTTATTTTCTAATCATATTAAATTGTGGGGGTAGATAATATTTCAGTGACTAATTGGAATTGAAAAGTGCCTTGCATTTGTTCTGTTTTGTGTTTGGCATTTAGGTTTTCCTAGGACATTAGTTCAGGCTGAAGCCCTGGACAGAATCTGTGACCTGGATCTAGTCATCACTCTGAACATTCCATTCGAAACACTCAAAGATCGTCTCAGCCGGCGTTGGATTCACCCCCCTAGCGGGAGGGTGTATAACCTGGACTTCAATCCACCTCTTGTACATGTAAGAATATACAAAGTACTCTCACAAGCTAACAAGAAAGAGGCAAAACATTTTAGTTGAAAAGTGGGTAAAAGATATGAAGAGACTGTTCAAAAATGAGCAAATATACATAGCCAACAAATATTTAAAATGCTCATTCACTAGTAGTTAAGGAATGTAAATTAAAGTTTATAACACTGATAGCTGGATGGGATTTTGGGAAAAAAAGGTACTCTCATGTTTATTAGGAATATGAAATATTAATAGTCTTTTAAGAAAGCAACCTAGCCGTGACCGTTCAGGATGCCTTCCCTAGCTCCTGGGTGCCATAGGTTCAGTAAAGTTCCAATGGGTCTTGCTCATTTGGGCTGAGCACTAGTCTCCTATTGAAGTCCTCTTTTTAAAATGTAAGTACTTCTGGAATTTCTTTATTAGATCTCGTTCTCCTTTCCATCCCAGTAAACTAGTAGAGGGGGTGAAAATGGGTGGGGGAGGAAAGGGGGTTCTGAATATGCACTGAAGTTCAACACACACGGTTTGCATTTGGACCCTGCCTAGACCTGCTTTTGCAAGGATTCTCATAACACTTGAGAAGCTTTAACAGTGACTTGCTTTCCAAAGACTTGGTTTCCCAAAAGAACACCTGCAGTTACAATGCCGCTTCCAAAGACAGCAGTGGAAGTGCTTGCCTGGGCCCACGCAACCTCCCTGCGGTGCAGCGCCCCCCGAAGGGTGCTGCTGCTGCCCGAGGCCCCTCCTGCTTTTCTGGAAGCAGCTGTATTTGCTGGTCCTCTGAAGCCCTAGAGATGGCTTCTGAGCTTTGCAGCCAAAAGGAAGAAAGATGAGAGGGGAATATAGGTGATGGACAGCCTCTCCCATCCCCATCGCTCCTGGTGTCAGCAATGGCCGTGGAGTGCACACGTAGTAATTATGTGGCTCACCAATAAATCACCGGTGTAAGTGACGTACCCAAGACCCTGAGCTGTAATGGAATTTTGGTGTGTTTCAAATTTATAGCTAGTTTCTGATTATCCAGTTGAGTTGCCTGAGCCTTTTGGTTCTGCTCTAGCCTGCCTTTTGACAGATTTATTTCTTTTGACTATCTCCCCTGGTGCATAATAGCCACAGACTTGGGAGGCAAAATTCTGATGTGTCAAATTTGCTATTTTTAAGGATGGTTCCTGAAACACATCAAAAATCAGGATTTTTAAAAAATTGCCATTTTTCAGTTCTCAGGATGTTTGTTCCTGATTATCATGGGTGTATGAGTCATGCCTATTTTAATTTACCTTTATATAAGTTATTCGATTTAGTAAAATAACCTGAATAAGATGACTCTTAGAGAAGCTACATGATAGAATTTGAAAGTTATCGAAGACAGGACTGAAATACCTTCTCCTAGATTAGTAAACCAGCTGGGTCCTTGAAATATTTTATTTCCTATATTAAGAACTCAGGCTTTCGAAAGCAAGTCAGTTTTTGGAATATTTAGAGGGCCAGAATGACACTGTTTAAAAGTGTCTTGTTGGCAGAGGGGGGCTGCATGGACATTTAAACTGCGTGAAGGTGTCATTTATCAACAGCACAGGAACCTATTTGGAAAGATCTGAGAAGTTAATCAAGGTTTAATGTCAGCTCTCATAAAGTGAGGTTAACATGCTGTTAAGGGTGCTGTTTCTTTTCAAGTGCCTTCACTGTTACCGTTGTTACCCAGGCCCAACTCATTACGTGGTAGGAATCAAAGGTGCACACGTGGTTTTGCACAGGAAAGTGTTTACCTGTGGAATGGCCCAACTGTTGCCCACGTTAACTGGCTTCTCTGGTATTTGTAGGGGGTTGATGACGTCACTGGTGAACTGCTGGTCCAGCAGGAGGATGATAAACCGGAAGCAGTTGCTGCCAGGCTAAGACAGTACAAGGACGTGGCAAAGCCAGTCATTGAATTATACAAGTGAGTGCCCTTCATTGTTTTCACGGCAGTGGGCCAGTAAGAGAGGTGGGGCGCTTCCCGGGAAGGGCCTTGGGGTGAGGTGGGGTGATGTTTCTTTCAGCTAGAGAAACCCTAAAAGCCCAGCGCATCTGCAGAAGTCCGAAGAAATGCTGGAGTTGTTTGTGGGAGATCACGCCCAGTACAGGCTCTGAGACCTGACCACCCCTGTCTGGTTGGAAACTGCATGAAGACTTTTTCATTTTTCTTTTTAAGTAGCTGAGATAATGCTTTACATTTTGACACTACCACACATAAATATCTTATTTGAATAGAAGATTAGAAGGGAATTTTGGCCTCGATGTGTCTGGAGGGAGTTTAACAAAGAAAAGCTAAAACTATAAGTTGCAGAATGCTGCTGGAAATGGGTGTCAAGCCTTGGGG